CTATATATATTTAGAAAAATCTATACATTTAAAATTAGGCAGACTTGCCGCAGATAAAAATAAATAAAAGTCAGTTTTGGATTATAAACGAAAGAGCTAATTAGCCGTGGGTTAAGGCAATAATTACTCTTGGAGTAAGCGGATTGCGATCCGCTAAACTCGTACATGTTCTAGGTATAGAACGAAAGATCGGTGACCTAAGTTACGCTTCCTCAAAGCGCAAAGTTACAACAGCCCCACTACATAATTAGTATAGTAAAACCTACTTAATATGCATTAGTCCTGTCAAGTAGTGGCCTTTTATTACGGTGTAGTCACACCATGGTGTGATTACACCAACATGTGTAATCCGCACCTTTGTATGGTCACGCCGTCTTGTGTGGCCCACCCTTTCATATGTAACCCCGTTACATTCTCCATTGTGAAGATCTGCAATTCACATATAACTCTCGCCTCATACGAGACTCGGGTCTAAGACACCGTTACATTCCCAGGTCCTTCTTCGCGCATTCTTTGCTCAATGTTCGCTGGTTCTATGACATGTAAGTGCCCGCGGGCAGAGCCTTTCTTCGTTTCCTGGACGCGGTGCATCTCCTGACCGTACGTCCACGGCTTCAAGAAAAGCTCATCCCAAGCATTTGGCGACCGAGCGTCTCACATCGCGCCCGCCCTGTACGACGGATTACTCGTCGACGAGTTGGAGGAAGTCGACTACGAGTCGGATACTCCTTTCCGGCATAAGAAGATGAGGAGGATGAGGTGCTCAGACGGCGCGACGTGAGCCAGCTCAAATCTTGCGAACACCGTGTCCGTTTCCCGACCTCTTGACTTCCGGGGGGAGTGATAGTGGTACAAATCGCCTCGCCGAGGCACAGGGGCAGCAGTTGGAGGCTGCCCACAGGGCGGCTCTCATGCGCTCGTATCTGCGTTCGGCCCTAGACCCTCGTGCGGAAGACGGCTTCCGCTTGGCAGATCCCGCTACTGAAGCAAAGGACCGATCACTTGATCGTTAGACGTCTACGTAGTCGGGCCCCCGGCCACTACACAAGCTGAGCTTGATCAGCGGAAAGCTCTGCGAGCTCGCTTTTTGGTACCACAACAATCCCAATGGATCGGTTCCGCGTTCGACCTCGAGCTCAAAGAGGAGGTGCCCATGTACCCGCACTGTGAACCATTCCTGTGATGCTCGCCCCTAGCAAAACCGCTGCAGATGATGAGTTGATCTTTAAGCGATGGGTGAGCAGCACCGGAAGCTTTCGTAGCTGTCTACCTTACATCGAAGCCACATAGTAGATGCCACTTTTGTAACGTATTTCACGTTGAGGATTATCGCACTCTGTCAGAGCGGCTCGTAGCCGTCGAGCAGACTAGTACGTCATTTCGTGCGACGGTGAAGAGCCTTGCGCCGTTGACAGCAGAAATTGACGCACTCCGTGCTAAACACCAGTTGCTGGTTCAGCTTAAGGGTGGCCGAGACCCTCTATGCGCCGCCCCGGCACCAACGCTTACGCGTTCATTTGCACCGGTTCCCATTATGGCTTAAGCAAGCCCTCGAAAACATCGGGTAGTGCGCTTCCTTCTCGGAAGGACCAGCGTATACGCGAGTTCTCGCTTGGCCACGACCTTAAGAGGTCCGATAAACCGTGGACGGACTTAGTCTTAAAGCAGAAACTGTGTATTTAGCGCTCAATAAAACCAGGTCGCCGACCTCAAAGTTTTCATCATTTCATATTCCATCCGCATTTTTTTCTGCATGTTTTTGATTTCATCCATCGCATCGCGAACGTGTCTTAGGACACTCAGTCTGGTAGACAGGAAGTCAACGACTTCTCTACGCTGGGTGAGGGGGCTGACATCAGCTAGCCGTTTGGCATTTGCTCCCACGAAGCCTGAGCCATGAAATGGCGACGTCAGCAGGACGCGAGGATTTATAAACGGCGTGTAGCCGGTAGATGAATGCACTGCATTGTTCAGAGCGAACTTTACGAGTGGCAGCATGTATGCCCCACCGCTTTGGCATCTCCGCACGTTTTCATCACGGGGATTGGTATGTTGGACTTACTCACCCGCGGACTCAACCACATCCAGAGCAGGAGTATCAGCGCCGCGATCAATATATTCCGTTGATTCCTACCATGTGCGTGCTCGCCCACGCAACGGGTATGAGCATCACTTTTGTGGTCAGTGATGCCCACTGACCCACAATCCGACTCGATCGCCGTATTGATGGAAGAAATGGCATATACAGCCGCAGTTGATTCCTTCGACTTTCCAGTACAAACATGTCGACACTATTCTTGCGTCTTGAGGAGGGCAACAACCGCCATCTCTCCCTCCTAACATTTTTCTGCTCTGCATATCGCCATGCCAACTAACGATTCATTTGTTTTCAATTGGATAGTTCAGGGCACCATTTGATCTGTCGACACACTTCCTGAGTGGCCACCAGTGGTCACTCCAAACGACTTTGTAACTTCCCTAACCTGAAGAATGTCAATTGCATGGCATATACCAATGAAGTGTGTGTCATTACCAGCGGCATACGACTGCCGAGCACTTGAACGTTTCTCCCGGTGTGTTGTGAATGTGGATTCATTACTCCCAGAAGTTTCACTCGCGCCGGTAGAGCTGCTCCCAATCGGTTTCAATCACCAATCAATCCACAGGTCGTGTTTCTCAGGCCACGGTATACATAAAGTCAGGTCAGACCATTTGTCCGGCAGCTCTGCTACAAGCTATATCGAAAACGATCTGTTCGATATAATACGTCGAGCGTACGTTGATGATGAGCAGTGTGATCTGATAATCAAGGCACTCTCATCGAGTTATATAGATCGCCATGACAAGCTTACTAGTCGCTTAAAATCACGGATGCATTGTTATAAAAGACGATCTCCTTCGCTATAAAGTTGCACATGGCGAAGAGCCACGGATTGTGGACCCCCATAGCAATAGTTTGAGCACAAGATTGTGTACGAGGCGTATAATACGCCGATGGCCGGTCATTTGGCCGTGAAAAAAACTCCCAATCTCTCAGTGCTCAATTTTGGTGGCCTCGGATGTACAAGCAGGTTGCACGATACGTGAAGACATGCGATGATAGTCAGTGCTCGGCATACGCAAGTGCCACTACAGAGTCTCCCGTTTCCTACTGACTGTTGGATGTCAGTCGCGCTCAACTTTATCTTCGGTTTCTCCGAGAATGCTGACAGTGCTCGTCTTCATCAACAGACTCAACAAAATGGTTCGCATCGCTATTCCATCGACGCCGAAGATTAGGCTAGATTGTGTGTTGATCACATTTTTCTACAGTCACGGGTTGCCAGGCGGTATCGTCTCTGATCGTGATTCGAGTAGCTTTGGGGAGTAATCGTTTCGAATTCCTGGCAGACGCTTGGATATGTTAACGGCGGTACACCCGGAGACCGATAGGCAAACTGAACGTTCCAACAGCGTGATCGGTGATGTGTTGAGGAGTTTTCGTGCGGTAAATGGAGGGCGTTGTTACATTTGTAAAGTTTGCTATGAGCAATTACAGGGGATGCTAGCGACGCTGCTCCGTCAACAAAAAAGCGCTTCATATTCAAGAGGGTAATCGCAATTTGGCTTCAGTAAGCCTGTGACAATCTTTTTGGGATGTTCAGAGTGTAAATTCACTACAGTGATCAATTTGATATTGCGTGACTGCAAATTAGCCTTTCAGACTGTACACACTCCTTGCAGATGCAGTGAACAATATCTTGTGCCCTACTACATATTCGTGTACTTGCATCGGCGTATTGCTTTTGCCAACCCTGGCTTGCAGGCATCGCTTCACGCACACGATATGCCGCTCAATCTTATTCGGAAATATAGCTGATTAGCTTGAAGTGTAATATGACTAACGTCAGTAAATCGAATCGCATCGACAGCCTAAGAACTCTGCGGCGGTGCCAAAATTAATAAAAATCGATCTTTAAATATTTAGAAGAGGCCCATAGAATCATGATGTGCGTGATTAAAAACACCACCACCAAGCACCGTTTTATCGATGGACAAGTGCTTTGGAGGTTACCCTCTACGACACTATAACGCATTATGGCTCTTCAACTGTCCTTGATAATCAACGTTTGGCATGTCCGATATGACGCTTTTCAACTAAAACAAAGCTCGCAACCGCGATCCGACAATACAGCGATCGGCGGGCCATGCTGATAATAATTTTACTTTAGGAACGGCTTGACTGCATTACCACTGGTTTTTCTATCGTTGACACCAGCGAGATGATCCATCAAGCTCAAATGGTTTATAGAGAGCAAAATGTCAAAATTACCGAACAAATTGATCAGACGACCGAATTATATCATACATACTCATGCATTGCCAAATCTTGCCAGAATCGATAGGCAGACCAAAGGCGCCACCGCGAGCAACAAAAAATTGTACCGTCAGCCCACATTACACGTGTGTATATATAGGCTTCCCCTCTAATACATGTTGGGCCACCAATTAAAAGATGTATTCACCAAGCCGTATGGCGTTAATCTTCCGAGGTAATCGCACAAAAGAGTGACATATGTCTCGCACATAGTATATCAAACGGATGGGTGCTGCAATTCAGCAAGCGATGAAAACACTTAGCTGTATAAATGCGATTGATATGCTTGGATAGCTTAATATATGAGTTTAGTGGCGATTGATCTTTTCTCTTGTTTCAACAGTAGAGAATAATACGAGCGTTAAACTATTTGCGTTTTTGTCACCCACATACAATGCGGCCGAACGTCACCTGACTACCTTATTCGACATTCGGTCCTTTTAGCTAGCTTAGCGTGGGCAGGGCTTTGTTCTTTACCTTGTATCGCAACGGGTAATATCCTGCGGCTGGGATATGGAATCTGTCTTAGAAAACATCTCGATTTATATAAGAGTACGATTTCAATTTTACTTGCCGCTGAGGTACAAAACAAACCCCGGAATTTAGAACCCATTTCCTGTTCTGCCGCTTCACGTGCATAGTTATTTATGCCTGTTGCAAATGTTGTTCGTAAATATTATTGCTGCTATCCTAGCAATCACCAAGCGTATATCGTGCCGCTAATAGCCTTCTTTCTGTTTGGTGCGCCTTAGACTAACAATTGCATCCCACTAATGCATCAATTCCGTCTTCGTTGCAGAGCTAGTTATTTGCTAGTCAAATTGATGATCTGTACGGCCTTAAACGATGAAGGGCGATTGACGATTTGACGCGAAGAGCTAATTCTTAAATGCATGGAATTGGTGAATAAATAGAAGACAAGACTTACTTATTATTCGCAAGCAAATCATTTTGACAACGAGTGCAAAGATCAACTTTGGCATATGCCTAGCAATCTTGTTTCTCACTGTTTGACAGTGCTTTTGTCCGAAAAAGACGACATTGCCTCGTTCGATTAACGTTGGCTTTTAAAAAAATAGCGACAAAATTGGCAGCATTCACGATTGTATCAGCTTCAAGTTAATATAGGTCGAGAGCATGGAACAAAGTAAATTGACTTTATGAATATCACCGCTTCAGGCGGCATTGTTCCTTACTGTGATCATCAGCCCGACATTCAGTGAGATGTATCTGACCCTTGCACCGATTGCGAGCATCAGTTGTCGATCTCTTTACAGTGGTCGCCTCAGGCGATTCACCTACTAATCCTCGCCATTATCGTTGTTTGCGATGAAAGCAGAAATGACATGACGGCAAACACATATGAATAATTTTGCTGTTCAATTCTGTGGTCAAATTTTAGTGCGAAGAGGAGTTCGACGCCGATTATCAAATCAAAAAGCTTGCTATTGCTCGCGAGGTAAGATTGGTGGTTGCAGGAGAATCACAGTCATCTCGTACGAGGCATCCCGTCGACAAAAGCACCTGTACATCCCATTCCATGGTCCGACATTATATCGATGATCTTGTATAGAGGCGGTGAAGTCAGGTGATTGCCAAAACGTTGAGCCCCATCATTGATACTTTCAACAAAAATCCCACTGTCCATACAAAGCTCAAAGAAGGATGCAGCTACTCCGTCACCTTTTTGTAAAGGGTCAGGAATGGTCGTATATAATTAAATTTTGACCGTTTTGAGCTTTCTCCGCTTTAACTAGAGAGGATGTTGATTGCAAATTGTCCTAATTCACATAGACTGCACGCGTGATGCAATGATATTGCTATTATCACCGCAAGCGTTTGAACGCCGCCCGTCTCAACAGAACTAATTTGCTACCGTCTGGAGTGGCACGTCATCTCTCTAGATCAATTCTTCTATTTAAAGCAGAGACGATGCAGCCAATAACGAATGTTGAAAATTGCCTTTCTAAGTAAGTATGTCTGATACAATTACTGTACACTTGTAATATACAAGAATAATTAATTACTCTCCAATATAAATCTTCGGTATTAGAATATAATGAGCGATAAGAAGGAAATTACTATTGTTTAAGAGAATACCTATAGCTTTGTTGAGTCTAGAAATACATTCCCAAAATTAAGACAAGAACGTACATGACCTATTAACGATAGTACTTGAAAATTGCGCTGTGGTATGTTATGTATATTAACTTTTCTGCTTTTTCACCAATCTGGGAGTTTCAATTTTCTCCTTATGCACATGCAAAATAAAAATATGCCAGTTGTCTCTGCAACAGATGCTCGATTGGGTAAGCGTTTCAATGAGTTTGATAATATGAGTAAGAAATCATGATTACATAATATAGATTGACTTGTAGATCAAATCCTTTGGCATCGCACCGTCACGCCTTTCCAAGAGTCACGATTCTGTTACGAGAATGGTAATAATCAGCAAGAGAACGACCAGAATACCCACCACAATGCACGAGTCACCATGAGCGTTTCCATTTGATTTTAGTACGTATCAGGAAAGTAGGAATTCATTAACTTTCTTCAGCACGCATTAGAGATGTAATATTTCTTTGCATTGCGGTTAAATGTGAAGTACGACTATAAAAACATGCGGTAAATATTTGCGTAGCTCTGAGCTAGGCGGATATGATAATTATGGGATAAGAAGACCCTTCCCCTCACTGGGTCGAAGCTGAGGCAGGCGCCGACAGAACTTTCTCATTTATCTAATTGCGCGAAATTACCAAAGAATTGAGTCGTTCATGTCGGGAAGTAAAACCACTGGCACTGCCAACCATAGGAAGGAACGGCGAGTCCATCGGCACCTTCGTGTGTGTCTCCCGTACTGTTACACATCAGGATATGAAGTAGATGCAGCGGAGGAGTTGCGAGGCAGCGAGGCTGCTACAATTGAGATGCTCCCGCGTACAATTGAGCACACAAGAAATCACACCGCTTCATATCCTGCCTGCCCTGATGCAGGAGATATGTACCCCGTCTCCACCAAGACCAGCTGGTCTCTCCGAAAACGCCGCCAGCACAATTCATCCTCTTGCTCAATCCAGTCACGGGCATTTTCATCATCGACTTCGTCCTCCTCGACGCCATCGACCTATTCGATATGCCACAAAGGCGTCACGTATGGTCAGGACGGTGCGCTGGTCCACTGCCGCTTTTGTAAGATCCTACAATCCGGTGACGAACCTTTTCTTTACGAAGACGAGGATATTGTAGTTTTTCGCCCACTGGCCCCTGTCGTCGAAAGCCACGTCTTAGTGGTGCCGCGTCGCCACATACGCAATGTGAATGCACTTACACCTGATGATGCGATGCTCTTGATTCGTATGCGTGAGGTTGCTGCAAGCGTTCTACGTGATTCACCTCGATATGCCGTAATGAGAGCTTCAAGCGCCGCGCTATGCTCTGATAAGGATGACACCGAATCCGACTTCAAGTATGCATTTCACTCACCTCCATTCAACAGCATTGACCACGTCCACATGCATGCGTTTCATACCCGAGATAGTGGCTTTGGACGCTTTAACTCGATTAAGTATCGAACAGAGACCTGGTGGTGCCGATCTTTCGACGAAGTCATGACTCGCTTAGGAAAAAGAAGCATCACGCGAGGACTAGTACCGAGCGCATATCATCGAACCCGCAAATTGGACTTGCCCTAGTTCTTCTTTGAAGGAATTATTTATAGTTCTACTTTCACTAATCCTGATCACAAAAGAGGTAAATTATTTCAATTTCTTGTCGACTTGAGCAATTCGAATGACGGCAGCTTAAAGAAGCGTCAAAAGCTTAACATGAGCAGCACGTGACTATGAAAAAGATGTGTTCGCTAATGCTAGTCTCTACAGGCATCGATGATCTTTGTTGAACATACCTTTATCTGAACACAACCTGTATCAAGGTTTGTGAAGTATGCAATTTTGTTCAATGAGATAATTTCCGTGTCAGCGTCTCTTACATATCGGATTGACGCGCAATATTGTGGACTGACTGATCGCGTCGCACCAAATCGCTTTAGCACTTGCATTAAGATATCTGATGTCGCAGCAGTGCCATAGCTCACAAAAACCGCACCATCTTGATTCAGTTAGCATACGATCGCACATTCGATATAAAATTCGGAAGGATATGAAGCTGCATAATCACCAGAGTGGCATGTGTCAGTCAGGCCACCAACATGCATTCTACCGCCACCGCAGAAAAATTGATGAATCGTGAAAACGCGGTGTCAAAACACCCACCCATTTATGGAATCAAGTTCGCTCTAGAAAGCAGTATGGTTTGTGTATGTACCTCGACCTCCTAATCCGCTAAGTGTACCAAAATCGTGGTAGTCTCTTCGGAGGTTGCAGGACTTTTGTCGATGGCTGAGCTCAACTGACATTCATATTGACTGAATATAGCTGAAATCAGGCTTGTTGACCGAAGCAATTGAATATGTGCCTTATTTATTCATCGAAATTTCCACATTTCCTGCTTGTGTGTTGCTCTTTAGAAAAAGGCGAATTTAACTTATAAGTTGCAATTGCTCCGGAACAGAAGTATGTTTATTTATGGTTTCACACAACGTCTGGGGTGAGCTGATTTGTCTAGAGATCGTTACAGCACAACACACAACATACAAGTGATTGGGAAATCATAAATCAATCCACTATTCCCAAACAAGGAGTAACGCGTATTATCCGTCTCGTGCTAACCAACAAGTCTATTTTTCTGCCCCCCCTTGAGTTTCCTTTTTCCGTCTCGTGATCTCACTGATAATTTGACGCCGTTCTTATCCACGCAACACACAATAGTCCTTATGCCTTTAATTCTTCGGGTAAAACAAAAGCACAATTAGTACGGTAGATTTTCTTGCGGAATCTGTTGTTGGCACGAATGTTCAATAAATCTTTTGCCCTACCGCTGTCGAGCATTATGTGGAGTAAGCCTCGTAATGGTATACCTTCCTTGCTTCAAGAAAACCAACGTTGGTAAACAGAGATAACACTAAAACTAATAGTTAATTATCGGTAACCCTGAGCTTCGCACCATGAGAACAGTAGAACAAGCAAAGCTTTAATTAATGTACAGTGAATTGGGTGTAGTCGGTATCACTTAAGTAGCTTTTAATTTCCAAATAAAATATGACCAAGGTGCGCGGCTGTACAGTTGCAGAGGCGCCCCGGTGTATAGTACACTATTAATGACCAGATATTGCAGCGTTTTGTTTCACATAGCTTTGATTCCATGCTGATACCGGGGATAACAACGACAAAGACCGCCACTTAATGGTCACTACTAAAGGGACACGAAGGAAGCACAACACAGAAGCTAACACCATCTCATATCAAAGTAAGCGGAAAGGCCACCAGCAGCAGACCGGCAGCAACAGAGCATTTGCTGGAGACGTGGAGGAGACGACAGTCGACGAGGGCTCGGTCGCTGGTGCTAGAAAGAACGCTACCGCTGTGATA